CCACTCTCCTGGGCCTTCAATTTGCAGATGGCAGAACTGAGGACGTCTCAGCTTCCATAATTTTGGGATGGAATTCCTTGCATCTCTTTCTCCTTCTCTCTATGTGTATACATCTCTTACTGGTTTTGTTTCTGGAGAACCCTAATGTATGTTCTGTACTGCAGTGTGTTCAATTATGATCGCATCCACTCCGACCTCACTCTCGGCTGCTATGCTGTTGTTTGCCAAACCTTAAACTTCAACTTGAGTTTCTCTATATCCAAAAATTCATTACCAGCAGAGACAGCTGCATGGGTATTATGTAGGCACTGTAAATGCAATATATAGACAGTAAGCCTGATTGTCATCTCCCTAGCAGTCTGGTCTTACCTTTTGTAGTCTGATTTTTTTCAGTGTCACAATGCATCTGAGCCCATATTCAGTATCTTTGGATTGCTCATTCTGAGTTTTGAGCGTCACTGCAGGATTCCTGCAACTAAGGCACTTGCTGTCCAGTGGGAGTGCTGAGTACTGCACCCCTGCACTCAGGATTGAGGGGAAAAAAGTCCTTAGGCTAAGATGGAACCAAGGAACCCACTGCTTTCTCTCTAGATGAAAGAAATACATAAAAGACACACAGCCCCCATGCAAGGAGAGCCAGAGACACAGGGAGACAAACACAGAGACTGAAAAAGAGAACAGTCGGCAAATCATGATGTGATACACAGAGACAGAGTGAGAGGCGGTGTCGGAGGGAGACGCACACCGGGACAGAGAGGGGAGGAGTGTTCTCAGGGGGGGCAGGACAGGAACAAGAAGAAAAAGGGAATCAGAATGAGAGGTCGCATACTCACATCCCCCCAGTTTGGCTATGCCCCCATCTGCAGAACTCGACAAAGCCCTGTGGCCTGTGATGTGGCTGTCTCCCCAGCTCACCTTCTTCTCACCACAGTGACTTGCTGGTGTGATGAACAGGCTTTCGAGCCATGAGGTCTGAGTTACAGTTCCAGCTCAGTTGCATTTTAGCTGGGTGGTTTCAGCATGCAGGCTTCTGTTTCTTCATCTGTGAAATGGGTACAATACCTACATTGCAAAGTTTTTGCAGTGTGATGGTTAATTCTGGGCTGGATTAAGTAGAACCTGGAGAACTCATGCAGGAGTATTTCTGGGCTGTCTGTGAGTGTGTTTGCAACAGAGACAGGTGTGCGGGTGGACTGACGGGGAAGACCCACATCTGATGTGAGTGGGCACTGATGTTTTGCTGGGCCCCCAGAGAGAACAAAGAGATCATTTCCTTTGTTTCCGGGAGCTGGGAGATCCTCTCCTCCACTCCCCTTGGACATCAGAGCTCCGGCCTTCAGAAAGCAGGACTTGACAACAGCGGCTTCTGGTTCTCAGGGTGTTGGCCTCGGACTGAGAGCTATACTCCTGGCTTCCCTGGTTCTGAGGTCCACGGAATTGCGCTGGGCCCGGCTGTTGGCATCCGAGGGTTTCCAGGTGGTAGAGAGACTGTTGTGGGACTTCTCAGCCCATAATTGCATGAGTCAGTTCCCTTCATAAATCCTCTCTCCTCCCTCCTTCCCTCCTTCCATCCTTCCCTCCTTCCCTCCTTCCCTTCTTCCCTCTCTCCCTTTCCTTCTCCCTCTCCCTCTCCCCCCCTTTCATTCTTTCTGGAGAACACTAATATTCAGCCAGTCTTATTTATTACATTAGACAGATCCTGAATCTCCACTGGTTCCCCTCTCGTTTTCCTTAGTAAAGGGGAATTTATGCATACATCTGGGATAAGCTTAATTATTGGAAATAAATTAAAAATACTCTTCTAAATAAACAGGGATATTTTTCAGCCGCAGCTTATGGAAAACCATCCACAGAGTCGTCTGTTGATATTCATGGACGATTGCTTCCAGTGGATACCCGAATCTCTGGATGTTCAGGGTCCTCCAGTATTTGCATAGAAGCCGCACAATCCTCTTGTATACCTTAAAGCATCTCCACATTTCTTATAGTACCTAATACAATGGAAATGCAATGTGCACAGTCGTTATACTGCTTTGTTTAAGGAATGATGACAGGAAAGTCTGTATGTGTTCAGAGCAAAGTGTGTTCTGAATATTTTCAAACCACAGTGGTTGGGTTTGAGGATGTGGAACTGACAGGTATAGAGAATCAATGGTAGTTACAGTTGGTAGAATACACTGAAACCTTGTTTCATTTGCTGTTTTGTCTTCATCTTTCCCACCCTTTTTCCATAGATGAGCTAGGAGAGTGACAAATTACTGCACAGGAGGGCACCGGTGAGAGAGAGAGAGGATCTGTTTTTAATAGTCCATGCCTACTTGGAAAGCCAAGACACTGTGGCAAAAAAAAAAAAAAAAAAAAATGACCTAAATGAAAGATCTCTGTGAGTGAGATCCCAGTGGATAAAGAACGGACCATCAAAGAAGGAGGTACCTTCATTTGAAGGGAGGAGAGAACTTCCACTTGGATTATGGCCTTGTCTAAATAAGGTCGGAGTTTGTGAACCCAAGAGGCTTCCATAGCCTTGGCAGCTCATGACAAGAGCCTTGGGAGATTACTGACGTCATAAATAAGAGTGTCAATTGTTAAATCAACAATGGGAGTCACTGTGCACTTACTCCCCATGTAGGACCTCTGCCCATAATGTGTTGTACTATGAGAATTAACAGTAAAACTACTATTCAAACAGTGCTTTACACTTCGTGTGTCTGATAGGTGCAAACTGTTGAAATCTTTACTTAATATATACTAAGTTGATCTTCTGTATATAAAGCTAATTAAAAATGAATCTTGGCCGGCGCCGTGGCTCAATAGGCTAATCCTCCACCTTGCGGCGCCGGCACACCAGGTTCTAGTCCCGGTCGGGGCGCCGGATTCTGTCCCGGTTGCCCCTCTTCCAGGCCAGCTCTCTGCTATGGCCAGGGAGTGCAGTGGAGGATGGCCCAGGTGCTTGGGCCCTGCACCCCATGGGAGACCAGGAAAAGCACCTGGATCCTGGCTCCTGCCATCGGATCAGCGCGGTGCGCCGGCTGCAGCGGCGGTCATTGGAGGGTGAACCAACGGCAAAGGAAGACCTTTCTCTCTCTGTCTCTCTCTCTCACTGTCCACTCTGCCTGTCAAAAAAAAAAAAATGAATCTTAATGAAGAATGGGATGGGAGAGGGAGTAGGAGATGGGGTGGTTTGTGGGTGGGAGGGTGGTTATGGGGGGAAAAACCGCTATAATCTAAAAGTTGTACTTTCTAAATTTATATTTATTAAATAAAAGTTTTCTAAAAAAAGATATCATGGTTTTTTAAAAAAAGGATAATGCTGTAACTATGTCAGCAATGTTGTCAGATATATTATGACTAGAATCAGATTATAAACAAAGGTTCCAACTTCTTGGGTAAAGGATGCCTATGCCAGGGACCAGGAAATTATAGTCCATGGACCAAGTCTGCCCAGCCACCTGTCATCATATGGCCTGTGAGCAAATTTACATTTTAATGTGGTTGAAATAACCAAAAGAAAAATTACATAGGAAAATTATAAAATTACATGCAATTTGCTTTCAGTGTTCTTAAAAAACATTTTTTGGAACATTGTTGAACCCATTTATTTATGCACTGCGTGTCACTGATTTTGTACTACAATGGTAGAATTGATTGGTTGCAGCAGATATTGTACGCCCTGCAAAGCCTCAGGCATACACAGTGAGCACGTTCCTTCCTTTGTTCATGCTGAAGCTGCTAGAGAGAAAAGAAAGTTTCAGGAGATTGTAAGTTTTTTAAAATGTATTTTTGTTTGGATAAATAAGGAAAATTGAGGGCATATTTATCTTTTGTCTCCCTTTTTGTGTTTTAAAATAAATCTTTATTCTGTATTTTGAAGCATTGTTATAAGGTTAAAAGTAATCTAAGGGTAAAATATTCACTACTAATCTCAAACCATCTTTAACAAGGATATTTGTTTTTAAGATTTATTTTATTATTTATTTGAAAGAGTTACAGAGAGAGGTGGAGAAAGAGATCTTCCATCTCCTGCTTCACTCTCCATCCAGGTGACTGGGACTGGGCCAGGCCAGAGCCAGGAGCCTGGAATTCTATCCAGTTCTCCATGTGGCTGCAGGGGCCCAAGCACTTGGGTCATCTGCTGCTGCTTTCCCAGGGGCTTTAGTAGGGAGCTGCATCAGAAGTGGAGTAGCCGGGACTCGAAACAGCGCTTGTGTGGGATGCTAGCACTGGCATTGCAGTAGAGGCTTAATCCGCTGTGCCACGAGCTGACCCCCACAGGGTCATTCTAACATGTGGTCTCATTGTGGCTGATACTTGCTTCTACTCTTGGCATACATATTTCCAAGTGGTTGTAATTGTAGTTGATGTGGCCATTTCCAAATGGCTGTTAGAAATGTTTCTCAATTACTGCCTTAGTTTTCATAGTGGTTATTTTGTCGTAGAATGGTACAGTTGGGAAATTATGTATATTTCAGAAGCACTTGTTCTTGACTGTGGTCAGATTCTTCCTTCTTCACATAGGAAGGCAAATACTTCTCCTTGGAGCTGGTTCTGGGCAGCTCTGGCTTGCCCCTTGCCCTTTCCTACCTGAGTCTCTGCTCCCTGACGTCTGTTCACACGCAGCATTTACACTGCACTTAAAAGCTGAGAAAGATGAGGAATAAAGCTAAAGAAAAAAATGCCTGAGAAAAAACAAACATGATGTTTTGAAGGTTGGTTTCCTCTCTTCCCCCAGATCTCTCCATACAGCACTCAGTAGTAATAGAAAACATATTTGGCAAAAAAAATATTCTGTCATCCAATAATGATACAAGGGGTGTTTTTGCTGTCTGTTGCATTTTTATGTAAGTGGAAATACAAACAAAACCATTAACATCATTATGTTAATACTGTTGGCACTTTTGCAGTATTTCATGGGAAAACCTTTCAGTGTATCAAATTAACCCAATACCATGAAGGATAAGCATAATATGGATATTTACATCTTATTCTCTTATTTTTCCTAGTGAGAAGCTGGATGGAAAAACTAAAAGACAAGGTAAGGAAAGCTTTTTCTTCCTTGGGGTCTGTTTTGAAGGTCTTACAGCTTTGCCAGATAAAGGCCTAGAGTAGTACAGCTTTCTGTTTATCATTACTTTTAAAAAAAGTGTTTGTTTATTTGAGAAAGCTCATGCATGCATGAGAGAGGAGAGAGGGGAGAGAGGGGAGAGATCATTCCCACCTGCTGGTTCACTCCCCAGATGTCTGCAGTAGCTGCGGCGGGCCAGGCTGAAGCTGGGAGCTGGGAACGCGATCCAGTTCTGCCATGTGAGTGGCAGGAACCCAGTTACTCCTGCCATCCTTGTTGCCTCCCAGAGTGTGTGCTCACAGGAAGCTGGAGTTAGGAATCAGAACCAGCTGTCATAGCTGGTTACTCTGATGTGGGACCTGGGCATCTTAACCAGCATCTTAACTGCTGGGCTAAATGCCCAGCTCTATAATTCCATATAATAGAATTCTTATTCTGCTCATCTGCCCAGAATGCAGGGCCATGTCCATGTGTCCAGCAAGAGCAGCTTCCTTTTGTATTCCTTCTTGTGGAACACAGGGGATAGCTTATTCTTTGATGCACCATTCCTTCTTAGAAAGGTGTGAGAATTGACCTGGGGCAGTGTGCTCAACTGAATTAGATCCTTGACATATCGAGGTGGAAGTTCTAGGGAATTTCAGCAATGTATCCGTTCTGTCTGGCACTGCTTGTCCCAGTGTTCAACTCTGTGGGTGCAGAGTTTAATCACAGTGCTGCTTCTTATGAAGTGTTAATGAGCTGACCTATATGCAATAGCTGGCTTGAGAAAAATATTTTTCCTTTCCTATTAATTTTGCATTCATAGTAATTGACAACATTAATATTGAGGTTTATATTTTCATTTTCTTTCAATTTTCAACTCTTTCCAAGTTTTCACTTTTGCTTACTTCATAATTTTGTAGTGGGATTACTCATAAAAATAGTGATGAAGTCCTGAATTCCTTGGTGTAGCCTGTGTCAGATTCTATTATTATAACCCAGCTCAGATTATACTAGGCTTTCATTTAAATGGAAATCTTATCAATGATCAGATATTGAATTACCTCCAACTCAGCAGTCTTAATATACTCTGGTGATGGCATTCTATCAATATTTTTTATTTGGAGTCAGTTTTTCCCATATTTGAATTATTCATATTTTACTATAGCTAAATGTTAATAAAGAAGTCATTCAATTTTAATGGTAATGATATAATTAAATCAATTCTCCTCATTATCATTTTCTGCTTCTCAGAAGATTGTAGCATTTACCATTTTTGAGACTTGAATATTTTGAGTTCATGTACATTGAAAATGTTAAGACCTATGAGATCCATGGAGGCCATTTTGGAATTTTTGAAGGGTCCAGTTGTACAAAGGAGCTGTGACTGAGTGGACTGAGAAAGCCCTGGGGGGAAAAGCCAAACATTTAAAACTTGATATATTTATGTTGACGCGCTTACTATTTTTCAGAGGAAAATATGATGCAATGAAAATTAAACGGGATCTGTTGTATTAGTCTCAGAACCCATTTGCCATTATTTCTACAGAAAATATTCTGAATGACCGTAAAGGAACAAAAATAGACTCAAGGGAATGAATTTTGGCATGTTACTTGTTTTGAAGTTAGCTGTTGCAAAATGTCATACCTGTGCTTATACGTTCACTGCTTCCAAAAATCTGCTCCACTTCAGAGGAAGGATTCCTATGAACCCTCCATTCTTATTTGTCTCAAAAGCCGGGTGCCTCCTCCCAGCTCCTTTTCTTTAGGAGAAATAATTTTCTGTGTGACCCTTGTTTTCTGGCTTATTGTGAGGTTTTCTCAGCTCTCACTTTGCTCTCTTCTGTAGTATTTTATTTTGAGCATTTCTTAAATAAATTGTTAAAATGGAAGAAGAGGGGCCGGCGCCGTGACTCACTTGGTTGATCCTCCACCTGCGGCGCCAGCATCCCATATGTGCACCAGGTTCTAGTCCCGGTTGTTCCTCTTCTAGTCCAGCTCTCTGCTGTGGCCCGGGAAGGCAGTGGAGGGTGGCCCAGGTGCTTGGACCCTGCACCCGCATGGGAGACCAGGAGCAAGCACCTGGCTTCTGGCTTTGGATCAGTGCAGCGGCCATTTGGGGAGTGAACCAACAGAGGGAAGACCTTTCTTTCTGTCTCTCTCACTGTCTAACTCTACCTTATCAAAGAAAAACAAAGTGGGGGGGGGGGGGAAGAAAAGTCAAGACTCCAACAGGGATTGTCTTATTTAATATCTGTGTCTTCACCTTTTAACACTTTCTGGGAGGAACTGATTCTAATATGCTTACCTACCCTATCTCTGTGCCTGAAATATTACCAGTCCTTTCATCTGTGCACACATCTTGTGTCTGGATCTTTATCTATCTAACATCTATATGTCTTGTTAGTCATTATCTTTGGAAACTACTTGAGAGCAAAACTATTGTCTCTTTGATGGAAGTTGCAGAAGCACTTGGAATTGATAACAAAATTACAAATTATGTATTTAACAGGGCCAAGCTAGAGCATGCTCTCAGCTTAACTTCATCTAACTGTTCTGATATTGGTTCTCTATTAATTAGGCTCTATCGAAATTCCCAGTTACTCCTTTTGTTTTTGTTATCTTTTTATGCTAGCTAGGATTTAGATCAGCTATGAGTGACAGAAAACCTCTGATACCGATGGCTTAGCTGAAATAGAAATTTGTCTCTTATTTATGGGTAAAATTGTAGTCAAGGGTCAGTGGGGAGTGACACAGAGACAGGCACAAACTCTTATTCAATGCCCTCTCATTGTGTTCTTCATTCCCAAGGTCGTCTCATGCTGCTAGATGGCAGTTCCCACTTAGCTGTGTGTGTATGCTAGCCAGAATGAAGGCAGAAAAGGGGAGGCTAAGGAAATCCTGTCCACCTCCAAGGGGAGGATAAAGACACTCTGTCACTCTGAAAGGGGGAGAGTGAAGGCTCTGCTCCCCGCTATTAAATTTTTGCTTATTTACTTGAGAGGCGTGCACACACACACACACACACACACACACTGGTTCACCTGCAATGACTGAGGCTGGGCTGAGGCCAAAGCCAGGAGCTAGGAACACAATCTTGGTCTCTTATGCGGATGGTAAGAATCCAATTGTTTGATCCATCCCTGCTGACTCCTAGGGTCTGCTTTAGTGGGAAGCTGGAATCAGGAGGTGGTACTTGGATGTGGGATGTGGGCATCTTAACAATAGGCTAAATATCTGCTCCCTGATCCCCTTTAATGAGAATGTTCTGGAATTTACATGTAACACTGATTTACCATCTTTGGTTTGAAATTTATCACATGATCATACCCAGTTGCATGGAAGATAAGAAGTAGTCTTTATTCTGTGCCTAGTCCAACATTGAAAATTCTGTTACTATAGAAGACAAGAATTGTGGGATATTCCCTATATTCAATATAAAATTAACCTTCTTCTTGGTTAGAAATCCAAATTGGTGATGCTTGTTTGGTGAATCCTAACTTGGCTACTTGTTGATAACTTTTCAACATTTGAACTGCTCCTCAAAACTGAAAATGCATAACAATTTTCGTTATCTGGTAAAGACCAATCTTGTTGTTTTTTTCTAGATTTAGGAAAGGATCCAGAAAACAAATGACCCAGACCATACTTTAGAGTAGCAGTACTCGATGTGAGGCCTGGAGTAGAGTCAGTCTCACCTGGGAACTTGTCAGAAATGTAAATTCTCAGACCCTACCCTGGACCAGTCAGAAACTCTGAGAATGGAATCTAACCATCTGTGTGTTAATGTCTTTATTATTTTTAATTTATTTTTAAAATTTTATTTAGGGTATACAAATTTCATACATTTCATATATACAGATTTAGGGACGTAGTGATTCTTAGCACCCTACCCTCCTTCCTGCCCATGTTCCCACCTTTCTTCCTCCTCTCTCTCCTGTTCCCACTCTTAATTTTTATGAAATCTATTTTCAGTTTACTTAGTATTATACATTGTATTTTGTAATTTGATAATTCTGAGGAATTTCTTAATGCATTAGATTCTCAAGGTCACAACAAACACATGATAATTACTGCTGTACACTCTCAAGTTGGAGAGCCATCATTGTATAGAAATTGTAAGGGCACTGCCTTCATTCAGCAGACTTTAGTTAGTACATTGTAGTACTAGCTTTCCTTATGGATTTCTTGATAAAAGATGTTTCTGAATAAATCATGGATTATCCCATGAAAGAGAGATACCTATCTCATGAACGTGAAACAAAGAAACTCTCAAAATCAAACAAATAAAAACAGGTGTATTTAGTAATGTTTTGATTGAAAGTGCATTTAAAGAATTTGAACTTCATTTAGGGATAATTTAACATTTGCAGACAAAAATACAAGAATAAGAATAGTACAGGCGCCGTCTTTACACCTTTTACCCACGTGCACGCATTGGTAACACTGGGTCCCCTTTGCTTTCATCATTTGCTGGGATGTTCTCTCCCCTTTTTCCTGATCCATCTGAGGATAGTTGCATACATCATCACCTGTTTACTCCCAAATACTTCAGTGCATGTTTCCTAACACTAATGTTGTGTTAACAAATCTTCATGATCTCTCTCTCTATCATCTTGAATGTGTTTAACATTGGTATAGTTCTTTTATGTAATGTGGCATCAATATTTCAGATTTTTCAACAGTCCCAAACTATCTTTTATAGAAGCATTTTTTTCCTCTAGTGCAGGATCCAGTCTAGGATTATGTAACATACTTAGTTGTCATGTTTCTTTAGTTTCCTTTCGTCTGGAACATTTTTATAGCCACCTTTTGCCTCCCAGACACTGACATTTTAAGCAATTCAGTAGTTCTTCATTTTTTAAAAAAGATATTCACCACTTTATATTTGCTGGATTTTTTTTATGATTAGGTCCAAGTGGTGCATTTTTGTTTGTCCTTTTTAGAATGTTACTTCATTTATCTTGTTTTTTTTTACAGGCAGAGTGGATAGTGAGAGAGAGAGAGAGAGAGAGACAGAGAAAAAGGTCTTCCTTTGCCGTTGGTTCACCCTCCAATGGCCGCCGCGGCCAGCATGCTGCGGCCGGCACACCGCGCCTGTCTGAAGGCAGGAGCCAGGTACTTATCCTGGTCTCCCATGGGGTGCAGGGCCCAAGCACTTGGGCCGTCCTCCACTGCTCTCCCTGGCCACAGCAGAGAGCTGGCCTAGAAGAGGGGCAACCGGGACAGACTCCGGTGCCCCGACCGGGACTAGAACCCGGTGTGCCAGCGCCGCAAGGCGGAGGATTAGCCTACTGAGCCGTGGTACCGGCCAGAATGTTACTTCTGAAGGCACATGCGCATCCAATAATTTTGAATAGAGAGGAGATACTAGCAGAATGTACAAGTTAGAAGTTTTGTGCATGTCACCTTACTTATTTTTATTTCTGGAGAAACCAACTCATGAGAAATTTCAAAACAAGAGCTTGTTTTCCCTTAATCAGTTTTGCAACTAGAATGGTTAAATTATATTGGAAGATGATGGGTTCCTTTGTTCCCATCTTGTAATTTGCTTGTCACTTCAAGGCAAGGCGGTATCATCCACCCCCCTAAAAGAGGGAACAAAAAAGAGGGTGATACAACTGATTTTTGTTATGAAATCCACATAATTTAGAGCTCTAGGAACAAGAAGTCTAAATGTGTCAGTGAGAAATATGGAATCATTTTGAATATTCTTGTGGCTCACGTGGGGTTGAATTACTTTGCAGGGGGAGGGCCACACAGGGGTAACCAAGTTTGTCTCCCACAAGCTCAGACATCATCCTTGGATGTACAGCTCTGAAAAGCCCAATTGATGAGGCTGTTTCCAAGCACTGAGAATGGTGATTTTCAAGAAATAGACTCACAGTTCTGGTAAAAACCCCAACACTTTGCTATTGTTCATTGTTTTCCCACATGGAAAATTACAGAGTTTTTATAAGCCTTAAGCAGATCTGGAAGAAATTTAGAAAAAGGTTGGGCTTCTGCAAGGCATATTAATTTGTTGAAAAATGACTGGTTTTTGTTTCTTGGGGAAAAACACTTAGTATGCTGTTAAACAATGCTGCTGTTCTCGAATGAGTGGTAGAATTTCTGCAGTTTGCCCCAGCCTAAGACCCTGGGAGGCAGAACCAGGGAGGGTGCTGCTCTACACAGAGGAGGTGCCGCATTTGGGCAGGGCTTGTCTGTTCCTTGAGTTACTTCTATATGTGTTGGGAAGGCGTCGCAGCCCACATACTTTAGCATTTTCTAGAAAGCTTTGCCTCTGTTTTTCTGAAATACACTAGAAAAAAGCTGTACACTATTAGACATAGTCAGACAATGAACAGACTCATGTTCCTTCCACCCCCAATGCCTGTCTATGAATTACAGCCTTTGGTTGTTTATGTATTTTGTCTAGGGGGCTTCTAGGGAGGCCTGTGTCTGTGTTTCGCTGCGAGAGGGCTGAAGGGTAGCCTGTCCCCTACAGTCCCTAGGTGTCTTACTGGCTAGGGTCCGGGAACACCCTTAAATCAGTGGCCCTTCCCAAAGCTTCAGTGGGATCTGAGTGACTCACTCAGCCCCTGGGGTACATGGGAATCGGCCTCTCTCAGGGTCAAGGTATCATGTGACAACTTGGGGACACGGGGACCCCCGTGCCTGTGAGACCTCTGGGCTCTTTGGGAGGCACCAGTCTTGTTGGCAGGGATCCTTGTGCCCTTCTCTGCTAATTCCTTTCTTTTGACTGGGAGACAATCAGTTCTTCTCCAGTCCCAAGCTTGAGTCTTGTCTGCTGGGCAGATTCTGCTGTGCACAGAAGTTAACCAGTGTGCTTGTGACTGCTCTGCCCTTGCCCTGGTCCTTCTCACCTTTGCCCCCGCATCTGCCTCTCTCCCCCTTCTTTCCTCTGCAGGGCCTCTGCTTCTCTGTTGGTAACAGCTCTCACCTTTTGCTCACTCACAAGTCTTCTGCCTCTTTTTCTTGATGTGATTCAAGAGGCAGAGGCAGAGGCAGAGGAAGGGGGTATGGGAGAGGGAGAGGGAGAGGGAGAGGAATTGAGAGAGAGAAAGCACCACTCCCAGGGTTTTCTTTTACCCTCCAAGCAACACAGCATTGCAGAGGACACTCGGTCTCCTTGAGGCTTGTCTCGGGCTGTTTCCAATGTGTAGCATTTTAACAGCCCTGCGTTCTCAGAAGCTGACGTCACCTATCTTTAATACAAATTATGTTTCTGTCACCAAAAAATGGTATTGACAAACGTGCATGAACGGGTGACTAAAGGTGCCACGAGGTCTGGTTGATTTAGTTCCACGTTTGCTTGTTAAGAATTTGAGATTTCTAAAAAATAATCATCTCTCTCCCTGTTGCCCCCCCCCCCCCAAAAGCAACTTTATTTTAGTTAACGATTTTTCTTTTACAGCAAGGCAGCAATGGAGAAGCAGGGGCAGTGGGCTGATGGTGTTGCCTTTTCTGTGCAGGCTGGCTACATGTCTGGGATGCTGGTGCCTGTAGGAGTTGGAATAGCTGGAGCCTTGTTCATCTTGGGAGCGCTCTACAGCATTAAGGTTATGAATCGCCGAAGGAGAAATGGCTTCAAGAGGCATAAAAGAAAGGTATGGAACCAGCGATAGCAAAACCCAATCGGTGTCAGAACATTCTTCACTTGTCTAATTTGCTTACTATAGCCCATGGGGCTGAATGGTGCACGCACGGGGTTGAGGGGCCTGGTGGTTTGGGTTCACTGCAGCATTGCTGCCCAGCCTTGGTTTGTTAGTGTCTTTTACAGTGGACCCATTCTCAGCTTTGCTCTGCGCCAGAAAGAGTTTAATGCTTTTGTATTTTCCTTCTCTTAGCAGAGAGAATTCAACAGCATGCAAGACCGAGTGATGCTCTTAGCCGACAGCTCTGAAGATGAATTTTAAATTGGACTGGGGTTGAATTGTGATATTCAACAATGTTATTATTTTTTATTTTGAGGCAAAAAAAAAGAAAGAAAAGAAGGAGAGCAACATTCTCCCACATTGCTGCTCTCAGGCCGTGAGTCCTGTATCTGCTGGGTGGTAGGTTTGTCTTACACTGAGCAGAAGGTACATGCTGTATTCTAAATGTAACACACAGTGTTCGGTTTTATATTGCAGAGGGTTTTCCACAGCCACGGGCTGCAATTCATAAGTATGCAGCGTACATATTGTTCAGTAGGGATAGCTAGGTTAGGTAGAGTAAATATTTTATATTTTTCCACAGTATCTTTTCCCTTGATTTGGATAACCTTCATTAAGTGTAATGACTGTTGCCAAAAGGGCACGCTTGACTTTGAAATAGAAATCTTAACAACGTATAACTTCTCATGATCCTACTCTGTCCTACCTGAAACCGTAGACTTACAGGCCGTGGTACATACTGCATTTGCATCAAAACTAGCAGCAACTTGGAATGAGACTGTTTGGTCAAAAAGATCCTCAGCCCCTTAGGAGTATATATAGATTTGTATGCATCTTGCATTATATATTTCAGTCTCCTAGGTTTATTATTTTTCATCTTCTGTTTTATTCACATACATGGCAAGAAAAAAAAATGCGCCAGAAACAATGCATTAAATTGACTCTTAATCTTCCTGTGTGCTTGCTTCATAAAATAGTGTGATGGAGTCCAAAAGACCTATCAGCAGAGTCTTAGATGTTTATCATTAAGATGTACTTTTTGTGTACTCTTCAACTTTGTCAAAAAAAATGAGGAAGAGAAAAGAAGACAGTAAGGGTGGGCAAGCTCCCTGAGCGTGCGTTTGTCTCTGCCGTTTGATCTATGCTTCTGTGACTGCTACTGTGAATAATTCAGTGCACTGCTCACCACGTCTGGAGTCTTGGCCACGGAAGGAACAGGCCACTGTTGTTCCTCATTCGACTTCGTTGGGAAACCAGACAGTCTGTGGTAGAAGCAGGCCCAGTGACCAGAGCGCTGGTGCTCTGTGAAGTGGAAAATCAGCCTTTCTCAAGGCATCCATCCCGCTGTTGGGATGGTACACTGTATCATCGGTTCAACCATTTTTCATTCCCTTTGAAGTGTAACCCCCTAACCTGTACAAAATAGGGTACTTAATACCCTATCAGAATCTGGGAATTTGGAACTGCAGTTGGTTGAGTTTGGGAATAGTGATATGGCTCACTTTTATGGAAGGATGAAAGTTACTAATTATACTGTTAAGATGGAGAACCTGTTCACAGTTATTAGGACATGTTCTACTACGTTCAAGGCAGGTTACAGCATTATTTCATGTTTAGTTCTCCCATTTGACCTAATATAGAACTAAAGCATAGAAATCAAACAATTACGCAAAGTTAAACCTGGAGAGAAACAACATGAGAACCCATTTGGGACTCAAAGCTATGTATTCCATCTTCAGTGCCCTTTCCACGGACTCTGAAGGAAACAGTGACATGTGCATGTCAGCCCTTCTTTAAAGATAAGGTTCCAAGGAGGTAGCCACTTGGTCAAGGAATATTTGATATGAGTTTATACTTGTATTTGTTCAATGACTGCTGCCTCACTAGCCTCTCACTTGCTAATGCAAGTCTTTTCCTCCTCCATCCCAGCCATTTCCTTTACCATCACAGAAAGTTAAATATCATCTCTGGGGAACTAATGGAGGAATATTCCAGAATCCATTCTTGAATGGTGACTGGCCCACAAGAATGTTTGCCTTGGTCAGTTTTAACTCTTTTTGCCGAGAGATGTAAGAAGATGTGTGAAATTGGTAAGGAGAAATGAAAAGCTTTGAACAGTCAAATAGAAGTTAGCAATTGACAAATAAGCTCAAGGTCATACTGCAAAGATGGAATCCAGAACCATAGCATTCACAAGTAACAGTAATTTCAAGAGTAGAGGTATGCTGGTATTGCATAAGGGAAATTTTCCATTTGTAAGAACAGCCCCTTGCTCTAAGTGTTCCTAAGGTTTGGAGTAAATGAGTGTGATGTTGACAAGCTGTTTTCAGAGATACACAGTAAGCCACTTAATTTAGCCACACATGATGGCCATCAACACCTTGGGCTTCTCAGTCTGTTGAATTAACTGGAACATGGCTGATAGGTTGAATTTTCCAACTGTAGGATGATAAATTGCAGATAACAGATGCACATTTTCATTTTCCAGAGGTCTATGAGGATGACATGTGTGTGAATTTAAACTGACGCAGAAATGTGTGCAGCCCTTTTAGGGACATTTCACTGTTTAAACAAAGAACTTATTTAGATCACAGTAGATTTCTGTACAAACCTGTTTAAACAAGCAGATAAAGAAAATGTGCTTATTATCCATCATTAAAAAAGAAAGGAATCTTGTTATTGCAAAAACAAAGATGAACTTGGAGGGCAATAGCTAAGTAAAATAAACAAGTTGTAGAAGGACAAGTCCTGCACAATCCCAGGTATACAGGGTATCTAAAGCAGCCGAACTCAGAAGCAGAGTTGGAATAGTAGCTGTCCCCGTGGTCTCTGGGGGAGGGAGAACTGGGAACTGTCTGTGTAAAGATTCAGTCGTGCAGGATGAGTGAGCTACAGAGATCTGCTGTATAGCATACTGCCTATAGTTGACATTGTGTCCTACACTTCAGAATGCGTTGAGGGTCGATCTTGTGTCAGGTGTTGCTAACAGCAACAGCAATAACCACAGAAGCAAGGAGAGCAAACCCCTGTGGGAAGAGACCCTTTCCCTAGCCATGCTGTCCCCTCAGTAACACCTGCTGTGTTGGAGGAAGGAAAATAAAAAGAGAAAAGGATAGAAGCTGCTAGAAACAGAACAGCAGGCTGGGATGGAGAGCCCAGGGTCCCTCCATGCCCTTGGTGTCTTTCTGTCATCAGAGGGCATTATGTTTCTTTTATATTTCTTTGGTTTCTTCCTCTTCTGTAAACAGCCGATTTCAGTTGTTGCTGGCTTAATTTATAAGCAATATTTGGAGGTAATTGGTATCCCAGGGCAACAGATTCCCTTAGCAATGCCTTTGCCTCAACTTCAACTCATAAACTATCTCAAATGTGGTTTTCCAGAAATGTTTTCTTAAAGTGCCTATATCTCTTACATAGGCCTAAAATGGTGGGGGCAACGTTGAAGCAAAATTTTAGAACATGTTTAAATAGCTGCAGCACAATCAATGCTCGTTTTCTGTTTCATTATTTTTGTAAAGACCAAAACTAAAAATGTTAAGAGATGAAAATAATATAGATCAACATAGAAAGTTCTGCATGCCCTAGTGCCTCCCTCGGTGCACCTACGGAGAGTTTCTTCCTGTGGAAGTCTAGAGGAGACATCTGATTAAGAATCCCACCCACAACTTGGAAGAGAAGAATTCAATTATGCGTGGACATGGTGATTTCTGTGGATACAAATAGTCGATGTTCCTATCAGTTGACAAAAACCAGTCTTTGGAAATAGATTTATAATTTGGTGCAGGGTTCTAGATATGTGGCCTTTTGCAAAACAGGCTTTGTGGTGGCCACAGAAGCATCTGAAGGGGCGGGATCATGACTGAGGAAAACAGTTTCTCCTTTTTAGGATGTGTGAAAGTGTGCTTACAAGGAAAAGAGCATGGATAGGAGATGGGCAAGAAACCATAATACAAGGCAGGTATAAAGATGGCACAAAACATTAGAATGTGCTAGGAGAGGCCAAAATTCTGAGTGGATTGATGCTTGGAAAAATGTTGCAGACAGCAAGGAGAAGAATGCAAAGGAGGAAGATCATTTTGGGGGGGGGATCATAAAGCTCCATGAATCTATTTTCTTTCCATCCTCACCATCAAAGAAAACTACCCTGCACTAGTTACAATGAATATGGTGAGAGAGAATTGAAGTCCAAGATGAAGGCGGAGATGAGAGGTGCTTTGTTACTTTAAATGAGTTAAGCCCAGTTAAATATCTTCCTTAATTATAAGTTAGTTCAAATGAGAGAATATAAACTTCTAGGAATGGGAAATGGTTTGGGAATAAATTTACTGTGTTGACTTAATAGACGTCCCATCTCTACACATTTGGCACCCCTCCGCCCACCCAGACACAGAACTCCTTTCTGGGGTAACTATTAGACTGATAAGCTCGAGATGGACTGAGGAGAGACATCTAATTATGTTGTTCTGATAATTATAAACTTCGGCAGTCAACATAGCTAGAAACAGAATCATGTGGCTTAATTTCTGCGTGTAGAAAAAAAGCAGTATTTACTTTGTAAGTCACTGTTATATAAATGCATTGGGAGTCTCTTATTTGTGATAATAGATGGATCTAACTTAGTAATTAATGCAGATTTCTGTTGTGTGAATGTGGGATAAAGAGAGAAAGGAAATAAGGAAGAAAGGGAGAGAGGGAGAGAGAAAGGGAGAGAGATGGAAAGAAATTTCCTCCTGGAAAGCACAAAGAAACAAACCCTCTTCTCCATCATTCTATCCAGTTTGCTCGAAAAAAAAAAAAAAGAAACTCAAAAATATTTAAATAGCATCCTCTCAAATCTTCAATGTAATAAAAAAGCACAAATTTTACTTTTTCCCTTCAGAAAGCACCAGGAACGGTAATATGAATGGTAACCACTAATAACTTGTAACACGGATATGAATTCTCACTGGACAATTGCAACTTAGAGATCTGAAGTTCAAGACTGGTGTTGCTCAGAGGTGTAACCTGTTGTGAGTTGAGAATAGAAGACTTGAGAATAAGCTGTTGCGGAGTGCGAACAAATGGAAAGCAAACTGAGTGCCCACTGGGTTATTTTATGACCTTTAAGGTGGACAGATCATCTGCTCTGGTCTCAGAGTTCAGGAAGCTGAGGTTTTGGTTAACCAGTGTTGTGGGCAGCTTCACAGTTTGTTCCTGCTTAGCAATGAAATAAAGGGGACCAGTAGCATTAGAGCCTATCTAAAATTTCCTGTCTCCCAGCATAGCTTCAGACTTCTTCATTACCAAACTAAAGTATACCCCTGAGGAGGGAATAAATACATTCTTCCCAAAATAAACTTGGGTGTAAAACCCCTTTGGCCATTTCTTCTTATTTGATGCATAAAGAAAGAAAGAAAGGAAATAGTTTCTAATTGAAGAATCAAATCCCAAGGGTCTGTGTCAAGGAGAGTGAGGACGGTTAGTGAGTCTCTCTTTGGTAAGCCAAGAACAGTTGATATCGTTGCTTCTTCCTGAATCAGTACTGATTTAGTACCTTTTATGTGCTTGGCAGTGTATTGAGCATTGGGGAATAAGAGGAGCAAAACATTGTCCGTGATCAGAAAGAGCTTAAGGACTAGTAGAGGAAGAGAGTAAATGAACAGTTTCATCTCAGGTACACCATGCATCCAGAAAAGGAGCATCTAACCCTCCCAAGGAAATGGGGGGCATTTCTCCCTAGGCCAGCACACCTGACGCCAGAAGCATGGGTGGGGATTATTCAGGCAAACGAGAATGGAATGCATGTCCTAGCCAGTGGTGAGCTATGGACATTCCAGGTCCTCAAGGGAACTGAGAGTTGAGATTTTAGGGGGAAAGTGCAGTGTGAAATAGGCAGATCCTGAAGGGTCTTCTGGGTCATGCCAAGGAATTAGGACTTTATATTGAGGGCAGTTGGAATCATGGAAAGGTATCATGTTGAGATGTGGTATGATCAGGCCTCAGGTCATGGGAAGACTAGACTGGGAAGGATAAAGTCTGAAGTCAAAACCAATGTGGGTGGGCGGTGACTATGATCTGGACCCAGTTGCAAGAGCAAATGTGGAGGGAGGATGGGTTGTGGAGGTTCTCAGGAGGGAGCAGTAACCAGCAGGACTTGGGACGGGTTGAATGTGGAGAAGAGAGAGAAGACAATGGTTGACACTAACATGGGTCATGGATTTTGGAGCACTTCCAGATATGTGCCAGTGTTTTGACTTCTGGAGGGACTGACCTGTATTATTTACTATCCAGGGAGGAAAACAAAGGCCTACAAGTGTGCCAAAAGTATATAGGCAGCTCTCATTTTCTACAAAGTGTGTGTCCATGCATTGTATTTCTCTGTGACTTTTAATAGTAGGTGCCAAAGAAATAACATTAAATTTAATAAAACCCAAGTTAAACATCTGGGAAACTCTCCAGATACCTTTAGGTGATGACACTTTCAGGCTAGGTTTGAGTTACTATCTAGGACTTGACTGACCCTTGATTTTTAAAAATGAATACAAGAATTTCTCATTCTTTGACATAAGTAGCAGAGAGGAGTGTCTTGTTTTTCTTGAAAACAGATCCAAAAAATTCCTCTTTCAAGGCGGATCCTTATGTGGATGATGTCAGGATTTGGATGTGCAAATCCTGAAAAATCTCACAAGCAACACAGGTCCTGGGACTACGTGGTTTGATGGCCTTTTCGACAGCGGTCATAGACAATCATCAAGTAACTACATGCCAATTACAAGTTTCCCACAATTGCCATGTCAGCACAAGGCTGGATTCTGGAGGGTCTCAGTGGCAACCGTGCAGAATCGAGGAATTGCAGAAAAGCATGAGAAATAATTATCCACCCCGAGATAATTGTTAACATTTTGGTCTGTGTGTTTCTGATCTTTTTTTCTGTGTATTTGTGATATTCTGTATATGCACACTTGTATTTTTACACAAAATTAGTATTATAATTTACAAGCTATGTTGTTAGCTCCCTGTAGCTACAATTTCCATGGTTGTTTTAAAAGGAATAAAGAAAAATGAAGAAGGACTTGTGAAAATCCCAAAGTTGCATTTGAATGTACAAGGTGTGTGTTTCCTTGTTAACAAGATTTTTTTGGCATTTGATGGTCCATGACTGCCCAGTTAGCTTCAGCTACTTCCATGCGATGCAAATGAGAACACAGTTGAAAGAAGTCTTGGTCACAGGACATCCATTTGCAAATGTCATATTGTACCCCAAGGGATTAGAAAAGCCTTTCCTTTCTTTGCCTTTGCCCTCAAACCAAAGCTTTTATAATTAGACAGTAAGATGGAATGACCGTGAGAGTAGATAATACATGCTGTTGTGAGAAACACTGGAAAAAAAGGATACTTACTGTAGTGACCTAAATTGATTAAAAGCTTGCTCAGTTCAACTCTCTTGGGTCTAATTGGTATTTTTGTGTCATTTATTATTAATACAGGGCACATATGTTTTCTACATTTGGTTTCACCAGGCTAAATTAGATGGGCAAATGCCCACCGCTAGATCCATTGTCTTCTTTTTCATTGTCCTTGTTACAAAGAGGAGTCATGGCTCTTTGTGCCCCTTGTGTCTGCTCCACAAGGCCTTCTGGATCCAACCTCTCTGCATCCCTTTTAGCTCTAAATGGTGTGCAGATCAGAGGGAGAGCAAGGTGATACTAGAGGACACATATCTTACCAAATAATGTTCTGTTGTTTTACTTCCCCTTTGTAACTGTCTCCACCAAGCTGTCCTCCTCCAAATTTCTCCCACAGAGTGGGACATGGATTTAAATAAAGCACATGATAAAGCTCAGTGGATTTTAAAATATTGTTGTCTTTGGGTGTGAAAGTAAATTTTTGTTCTTCACAAATTATTATTAGATAAAAATAGGACAGATTGACAATTTTCAAAGGGAAGAACATGCTCTTTTGGATACACTTCTGTTCATGTTTAAACTTAAGAAAGATAGCTGGCAGAAATTTGCAAATTCAGGTATTTTTTTCATACACATAATGAGGGTCTTTTTAAAGTTTCATTTGAGGATTTGTTGAATTAGGTGGGTTTTGTGCTATGTAAATAAAATGTAAATTCCCCAAATCTATTTTTACTTAGTGATGAAAAATCACAAACACTAAGTGAGCTCTTGATGTTGGCCAAGTGCTGTGCTTGGTGCTAACCATGATCGAGTTCATTTAATTGAATACCAAGACGCAATGAGATAAGCAGTCTAGGTCACCAAAGACTGCTGATGGCAGAAATCTCATTTGTAACAAACATTTATCCTTGACGAGAGAAACATAAAGTGAGAGTTGTAACAATTGATTGGTTGACTGTTTTTCCATGCTATAGAAACTGTGCAGCATTGGCTGCTAGCTATGATTTACATTCAGTTTTTAAGGCATTTAATTTTTATTACATCAGCCCATATTGAATGTTAGTTTTTAGGGGGATAATCTGTCTCCCTAAGTGCTTCAAGATGTGAGGCCACCAAAGAAAATACTGAAATTTGAGTTATAACCTGAAATTACTGAACCATGTCTGTGGTCATTTAAACACCCTGCTTCAATCTGTTGTAGTGTGCAACAGATGCTCCAGTTATTCAGATTATGTTTGTAGTTAGCTTTTGTCATTCATTTGATAAGTAGTTTGCAATTCAGATTTATCACATTGATCTAAAATCATTTTACACTTTATAAACACTACTTGTTTGGTTCTTAAATAGAAACAAGAAGAATACAGGTATTGTAATATCTGTGTAATGACATGGACGAGCCTGTTCTTTTACAGTGGCCACATGTTAAGAAGTTGATAATGTTCTATATTCATATACCATTGGTTTCTAGGACCATAAAACACTTCCATCTACAATTCATGGTTCTCAGCACTGCTTATGTGATTTTTCTATCCCAAAGGGCAGTTCTTACTCTGACAGTACTTGAGGAATGTAGTACTGCATTAAGTATATTAAAATAAAATCTGCATGGCGCAAGATCTGTTCCCCGACTCACGACTCAGTAGAAAGAAATTTCTTTAGGTCCATTCTTTATTTTCTTCAATACACAGTGCATTTTAGCCAGAACATTTCTGCAGAAGTCAGTAGTAAAATAGGAAAAAACAGCAACAGAGGAGAAAAATAACTAAGGAAAGTTAATTCTATTGGGGAATATTGTGTGTGCTTCCAGAGACGGGGGAGGAAGGGGGAGGGAGCAAGTGAGCATGAGCGCCCTGAGTGAAAATATCCTTGTGGTCTAAACTGGGAAACAGCTGAGAACAAAAGGGCACACTATTAACTGGAATAATCATGGGCAAACTAGAAACTAAGGACATTCTAGAGGGCGTGCATTAGACACCTCTGGTACCACAACAAATGCTGTCTTTTATTGCAGTCCTGCAGTAGCAATCAGTTCTGCACTGGCTGCTACTCCCACTGGCTTGCAATGGTGTGGGTTACTACTTTGCTTTCAGGGAAGCTCAGGCTAGGATAAACAGGACTGGGATTTTGGAGTGAGATCACTAATCAGAGGTAATAAGGACCCTATTTCTGGTGGCGAGTGGAGTGGTGGTACCTGGCCAAAAGTGTCTCAATTGCTAAATCTCTTTTTTGTGGTGGATTGGGATGAGGTGCAGTGCAGCAAGCACTGGTGTGTATGGTAGCCGTTGTCTTTACACAGTAGGGAGCAGTGGTAATTGTAAGGATTGAGTTGCTTGGTGTGCTTAGACTACTTAAGAGACTGAAGAAAGAAAATGGCAGACTTAGGTTAGTCAGTTGTCAACACAAGGCATGTTGTGAAACTCAGAGGGTCTGTATGGAAATATTTTCAGATTCATTGATGAATTGTGCTGAAACTCTAAGACTCAAGGTCATCTTCCGAGAAAGCAACCTGGATCAGACAAGATTCTGGTTAAGGATTGGAGAAGTCTAAGATGGGTGGTAGAGGAGGGAGATGAAGAATATTATTATAGTCTTGGGACCAGGTGCCACAGCAGCTACTGGAACTTGTTCTACTAATTCTCTTGAATTAAGCCTTCCCAGAGGTTGTGGTTGGCTGCCATTATGGAGGCTGTCCTTTGATAGATTGAATTTAAATAAGGGCACACACAAGGGCAAGAAACGGACAGTACTTTCTTTGCACAACTCAGCCTCCTCGTTCTTACACCATTACCGTGGGGACGAGGTCTGTGCAAGCGTCAGTGCAGCCAGCCAGATTAGCCATGTGCTGTGGCTGTCTTGTGTCTCTGATGCTGGACTGTCCTGAGGGCACATGTGGGAACCAGATCAATACCCAGTCATGCACAACTCACATATCTGTGGGGCCAGCATTATGGAGCAGTGGATTAAGCTGCCACTCAGGACACCGTCATCCCATATCTGAGCACCAGTTCCAGTCCCAGCAGCTCTGCTTCTGATCCATCTTCCTGCTGATGTGCCTGGGAAGGCAGCAGATGATTCAAGTTCTTGCACACTTGCTGTCTGTGTGGGAGACTCAGATGAAGTTCTTGGCTCCTTGCTTCAGCTTGCCCAGCTCTTGTGGCCATTTGGGGAATGAGCCAGTGAATAGAAGAGCTCTCTTTCTTAGTCTCTCGCTCTCTGTCATTCTGCCTTTCAAATAAATAAATTTATCAGTGGCGATGAAGACAGATGGGCAGCTGATTTCCTCTTTCCTCTCCCAGGCAGATAGTTTTGTGTTGCAATTTATAAGGCTCCTCAGCAGTTCTGTGAGAGCCAATCATGTGTAACAGTGAGCAACTCTCTGGCTGCCCCTGACTTGTCACTGATGTCCCTTGTATCAGCATTCTCAACAGAAAACAGGAAAAATGATTACTCTGGCAATAGTTTCCCTCATGCACTAGTCACTTGTCCATCTGGTGCCCCTATTCCTGAGGTCAAACAAGCCACCAAGTGGAAGCCTTTGCCTGAGGTAATGTTTTTTGGGAGAATCCAGGGGGGGAGAGAGAGAGACAGAGACAGAGAGACAGACAGAGAGACAGAGACAGAGAGACACTGAAGGTAGAGAGTTAGGGAAGGGAAGAAACTGATCTAGTATCAAACTGCATGAATATTTCAGGAAATCAGAGCCCACTTTGGTATTACAATATTCCTAATAATGAAGATGACACAGGCCATATTCTTCCTTGTTGGAAAATGTATAACAAGAATTATGAAGCTGGAAGAATCGTTGGCTCTCATTTTTAGCCTGTAAAAAAAAAAAAGGAAGTTTGAGCTGTGAATATATTCTCATACATCTGATAAAAAGGTTCAGAGTATGTCAAATCACCTGATACTAACCAAAGTAGTGATGACTGTTCTCTAAAGTGGAAAATTAGGTGTCCGAGTCTTCAAGACAGAGGGACACAAGGTTAGGATAATGTTAAGTTATCTTATGTTCAAAAATATAAGGAGTGGGAATATTTTAGAGAAAGAAAACTTTCCAGTAAACAGAATTCCCCTTGTATTTGTAAAACTTTTGACCATGGAAGAGGGGAACTACACATTCCACATGCTAAGCAGTTGACATATTTAGCTATATGAATGAGGTGGGCATTAATATTTCCGTTTTGTAGATAAGAAGTTGAGGCTCAGGGAAGTTAAGCGATTTTCTGTGATGACGAATAATCCAAGCATTTTTGACTGGGTTCTTTCCATCTACCTTGTTATATGTCCTCTGCTAAAAAGAGGAGGCCTGGTTTTCTCCATCTCCAGCAGTTGCCAGGTCTGTAAGCAGAATCCATTAGAAATCAGAAGAGATTTGGACCCATTCCTTCTGTTTCTCCAACCCAAATGTCCTATACCAGGAATAACTCAGTTTTACCTTCAAAGCCATCCTAATGTGTGTACTTTCTACCTTTTCTTTCCCACCTCTCAGCTAAAAATTTCTAACAGAGTGCTGGTAAGCACTTGAAAACAATTTCAATGGAATATAGAAGTTAGTTCCTAGCTAAAGTAGGGTTATATAATAATAATAATAAAAAGAGTAATTGAACACATCAGAGACAATGAAAGTGTTCTTTGCCTACTGTTGGCAAGCTTATCACGTTCTTGGCTCTTTTAACAAGGAATTTATTCGTTTGTTCAATTTGAGCATCTAGATCTGTTGCTGTTCAGTGTAGTAGAAAGTAGCTACACATGGCTATTTTAATTAATTGAAGTTAAATTAAAAATGTCAGTTTAGTCATTTAGCCAAACTAGCCCAATTTCAAGTACCCGAGTAGGCACCTCATATGGCTAGTAGTTTCCATTTGGATGAAGAGGGCCCCAACATTTCCATCATTCCAGAAAGTTCTACAGGACGGTTCTGGGCCTACTGCTAAGTCCTGGGGATACAGAAAAGCAATAGATGTGGCCCCTCTTTCATGACCTCATATTTCAGGAAGGAGGGAGAAAAATGAATTAGCAATAGATGGTAACTA